TGTTTCTCTCCGTGTTTCTATGATTATTTCTCGCGCTCTCTTGTTTCTCTCTCTCTCTCTCTCTCTCTCTCTCTCTCTCCCCCCCTACCCTGCCCTTGTCTGCTTCTCTCCTGATGCTGCTCAGTGTCGAGATGTTGGTCGCAGACGAGGCACTCATGGCACTGCTCGCCTCAGTCGTATATGCGAGGCTGCCAGTGCTGGGTCGCGCCGTCCTGCTCGGCGCCACGGCGCTGGATGATTGTCCCTTACCCAGTGTCGGAGCGCTGGTCGCCGACGTGTTGTTCACGGAAGTGTTGTTCGACGCAGTGTTCGCTTCATTTTTGAATGTGGGGATGTTTGTGCTACACCCCGTCGTGCTGCTCAACGTTGTAGTGCTCGCTGCCGCCGTGCTGCACGGTGTGGCGGCGCTGGTCCCAGACGCATTGTTCAAGGACATGGTGGTCGTTGCTCTGCCCGTCGCACTTGTAGACGTGAGGCTGTTGGTGCTGGGTCCAGTCGAACGGCTCAACGTCATGGTGCTCAGCCCCGTCGTGTTGTACGGTGCTGAAGTGGAGGTCACGTATTTGCTGTGGAATGTGGTGTTCAATACATTGTTCGTCTCACTCGTGAATGCGCGCCTATTGGTGTTGGATCCCATCGTGGTGCTCCACGTCGTGGTGTTCCACTTCGTCGCGCCGCTCGGTGCTGAGCCGTTGGTCACAGACGTGTTGCTGGTTGACGTGTTATTCGATGCATTGCTCGTCGCGCTCATATGTGCGAGGTTGTTGAGGCTGGATCCCTTCGTGTCGGTCGTCGTCGTAATGCTCGATTTCGTCGTGCTGCAATCGTGCTGCACGGTATTGCGACGGCCCCGGACGTGCTGCTCACAGGCGTGATGCTCGGAGCATTGCGCGTCTCACTCGTAGGCGTGAGGCTGCTGATGCTGAAGCCCGTCTTGATGCGCAACGCCGTGATGCTCGGTCCCGCTGTACTGCTCAGTGTCGAGGTGCTGGTTCCTGGCTTACTGCTGAAAAGCGTGGTGTTCGTTGATCGTCCCACTCGTAGCTTTGAGGCAGGTGGTGCAGTGTCCCGTCGTACTGCTCGGCGTCGTGGTGCTCAAGTCCGTCGCGGAGCTCCGCGTCGGAGTGCTATTCACAGACGTGTTTGTGGAAGACGCGGTGTTCGAAGCACTGCTCGTCTCACTCGTGGGTGTGAGGCTGCTGCTGCTGGATCCAGTCTTTGTGCACGTCGTGGTGGAGCTCGACTCCGCCTTGCTGCCCGGGGTCGCGGAGCTGGTCTGGGACGTTCTGCTCAAGGACATGGTGCTATGGCCCTGCTCGTCGCACTCGTAGATGTGGGGCGTCCAGTCGAACTGCTCACCGCCGTGGTGCGCAGCTATGTCGCGCTGCAGGGTGTCAAGGTGCAGGTCGCGTTCGTTATGCTTGAACACGTGGTGTTCGATGCACTGTTCGTCTCACTAGGAAATGTGGCTGTTGGTGCTGGACCCCGTCGTGCTACTCACCGCCGTGGTGCTCAACTCCGTCGCGTTGCTCAGTGTCGAGGCGCATGTGGCAAACGTGCTGCTGAAAGACGTGGTGTTCAATGCACTTTTTGTCGCACTCGTTGGTGTGGGGCTGCTGGGGCTCGGCCCCGTCGTGCTACTCAACGTCGTAGTGCTCGATGTCGTCATGCTGCACGGTGTCGCGATGGTCCCCGACGTGTTGCTCGAAGGCAAGATGTTCGTAGCACTACTCGTCTCGCTCGTAGATGCGAGGCTGTCGAGGCTGGATCCCATCATGTTGCTCCACGTCGTAGTGTTCGATTGCGTTGTGCAGCAGGGCGTCGCGATGATCCTGGACGTGGTGGTCAAGGACGTGTTGCTGTAAGACTTGGCGTTCGAAGCAGTTTGCTCGAAGGAGTTGGTTGGTTCCACCTTGCTGCTCGGAGTCGAGGTGATGGTCCCTGTCATGCTGCTGACAGGCGTGGTGCTCGTTGCACTGCTCGCCTCACTAATAAGTACTGCCGTATCACGTCGTGCTCTTCACCGCCGTGGCGCTCCACTCCGTCGCGCTGCTCAGTGTCGAGGTGCTGGTGACGGACGCGCCGCTGGAAAACGCGTTCGATACGCTGCTCGTCGCACTCGTTTGTGTGAGGTTGCTGGGCCTGGGCCCCGTCGTTCTGCCCAACGTCGTGGTGCTCGATTTTGTCGTGCTGCGCGAGATTGCGGAGCTGGTCCCGGAGACCCTGCTCTGAGACGCGATGGTCGTTGCATTAGTCGTTTCGTTGGTAGATTTGGGGCTGCAGCTGTTCGGCCACGTCATGATATGCTGCGTCGAGATGCTTGATCCCGTCGCATTGTTCAGCGCCGAATTGCAAGTCGTCGACGGGCTGCTCAAAGACTTGGCGCTCGTTGCACTGCTCGTCGCAGTCATGGGCGCGAGGCCAGTGGTGCCCGCGCCCAGGAGCCCTGGTGGGCTGGCCGCGACTATGCGGGCAAGGGGGGCAAGGGGTGTGCTCGCCCTGGTCAGGCTTGTAAAGTAGCGCCCTGGAGTGAAGCTCAGCGAAGCTTGGTCCAGTTGTTTTTGTGAAACGTGCGAGCCAAAGCGAGCAGAGACCGTCGAGCACCCCTGGACGGTAGAAGGAAGTAAACATGTGCTGCATAACACGCCCTGAGTCATGAGCAACCTCAGCGCCCCGGTCGTCGCAGCTGCGTAGAGAGGAAGTGTGGGGGGGAGGCCAGGGAATAGCGGATCCCGCCCGCGCAGGCATCGCCCCCTGTCGGTGGATGCATCATCTTTTTCTTTCTATGAAGCTTTTTTGGTCTGGAGTTCGTGGGGATCGCGCCGGAGGCCTCAAGCGGGGCCTCCCGAGCGTCACCTTCTGGGATGCCAGGAAGGGGTTGGCCGACGGAGGATCGCGGTCCGCGTCGGTGCTGGTGCCGAAAAGCGTCTGAGCGGAGCGTGCGAAGGCGCTCCCGCTGCCGCGGGCCAAGCCCCGGGAAGAGCGTGAACCCTGTCGCGGCCACATTCGCTGGCGCGACGTTTGGAATCTGCGGTTCGAGCTCAGACACTTGCACGGGCTTCCGCATGTGCACAGGCGGGCCTGGCGGCTCAGCCGTGGGCCCCGCAGCCGACGAGGTTGACGTCCCTGTTGACCTGGGCCCCGACGTTGATGGAGTGGTACCACTCATCTTATTGGCCTCCTCAGGGAGGTTCGGCCTGTGGTGGGGGCGAGGGGTCAAGCTTGACGTGAACAGGGAGACAGTGCTGCCATTGGTCAGCAGGACCACCCAGTCCTGGTTCTGATCCCCCCTTCGGCCGATGACAGTGCCGTGCGGCCGTGAATGAGTTTCTGCACCTGGTGGACGACCGTTACCTCGGTGCCTTCCTGGATGGGCGGAGGCACAGGTGGGGGGGGGGGGGGGCGAGGCCTGTGGTGTCGGGCAGCGCGTCGGCCCCGGCGGGGCCTGGCGTTTACCCTGATGGGCCCAGGGTCTTCCCCGATGCGGACGACCAGGCCCCCGCGCTTCCTGGCACGCACTTCGGCAGGTCCGCCGCGTCGCAGGGATCACATCCGTCGTCCGAGTCGTCTGCTCGCCCCTTTGCCATGAAGGCCTTCAGGTCGATATTCAGGCTGAGATGCTCTACTTGCACGGAGGCGGTCCCTTTTTGCGAGCCGGCGGCGTTGCTGGGCCAGTGTAGCCTGGCTGGTGGTCACGCTGGCCACCGTGGTTTCAAAGCGCATTGCTATGTCCGCGAGCCTCTGCTGCTCCGCTTCGAGGCTGCAGAACCGGGCGTCGGTCTGATCAGAGATCCCTTGGACGCTTGGTTTGGATACTTATTCTTCGTCCGAGACCTTGTCGTAGCCGATTCGTGTCGCTCGGCGGAGTGTTGTGGGGTGCTTCTGGTGTGTTCGATCCCGCGGTCGGCCCTCTTTAGCGTAGGCGCGCGCGATCGGGACGTCCCAGTGTGACGCATCGAGGCTGATGATAGGGGCCGTGCCGTGGTCCTGGTGGATAACGGCCAGGGCCGTGAATTCTGGCGGGTCACGGCTGGTGCCAGTTATATTGTGCGTGGTGGCAAGATGCAGTTTTGTGCAGCTGGTTTCGAACTGCCTGCACAGTTTCACCAGCTCACTTCTGCTGGTGCACAAGTTCGAGGTGGTGGAGCGGTGTTGTTGGTTGGAACAGTGTTGCTGGTGCACGGTTGGTTGGAACGGTGTTGTTGATGCCCGGATTCGAGGTTGGTTGGGTGTTTTGGGGAAAGCTCGTCGCAGGCTACAGCAGCCCGATCTGCGCCGCCGCTGCTTGGAGAGCGGCGGTGTGGGCTTCCTGTCACACGAGAAGCTGGACAGGAGGCTTGGCGGCCCTTGACGGGTGGCTCGGGCTGCGGTGGTACATGAAGCACACGGCGAGGGCTCTCAGGAACCATTGCGGCGCGTGCGGCGGTATGGAGATGATGCGAATCAGTCTCACGATGGGATGCAGCGTGTCCAGGTACGGCATGCGCGGAGACAGCCTATGGCTTCGCTGGGGGCTTCGGGTCCAGGTTGCACTCTGGGTCAGGGGCCCTCCGCACGAGACAGGTCAGAGAGAGAGAGAGAGAGCGTCAGAGAGAGAGAGAGAGATAGAAAGAGAGAGAGAGAGAGACAGAGAGAGAGGAGCAGGCAAGGGGAAGGAGAGGACGGTGAGAGAAGCAGGCGAGGGGAGGGGAGGAGGGGAGAGACAGTGAGAGAGAGAGAGAGAGTGAGAGAGAGAGAGAGAGTGGGAAAGAGAAACCAACAAATAAGAACAGCGAGAGGGAACAAGAGAGAGAAAGAGAGAATGGGATAAGAGCGCGTGGGAGGAGGAAGTGGCCCGTGCTCGTCGAGGGGGGAGACACGTGGAGGGTGGAGGAACGGACCCTCTTCTTGAGGAAACTTTGGAGGACGGAGCATGTGGCGAGACGAGGGGTGAAGCCGGAAAGGCACCGCGCAACGTGCGGGACCGTAGCCCCCAGCTCCGACAGCAGTCGCGCACTAAGGTTTTCGACGACGGGGGCGGTACTGCATTGGGGTGCGCGCCGCTGCCGCTAGCCGCTGCTGTCGTCGTATGCATTGGCGTGCACCGTCTGCTCACGTTTCCGTGCCTGCATCGGGGGCATGCCCGTACCAGCCAGCCTGGGTTTCTTGCAGTTTTGCAGCTTGGCCAACCGGGTTGGCGCCGACACGGTGGCACAGAGGTTTTCGCGGCAGCCGCCCTTCGCTCGCTCCTACGGATCCTCATGTGATCACATATCCTCATCCTCAGTGGGCCATGGCATCTTTCCCCACCAGCAAACCCCTTCGCATGGGGATATGCCCCGCGTAACCCGGAGTACACAGCACATGCCCACATATATGTATACATGTGTGCAAATATATATGTGTGTGTGCGCATAGCTGTACACTTGTGCATACATACACACATGCCTCTACACACATATGTATATGTGTATGTGTATGTATGTATATGTGTATCTGTATATATATATACACACCACCCAGGGGGGAAGTCGGCCAGTGCGTCCAAGGCCATGCCAATGAGAATTGGGATCGGGTAAAAGACTCCCCCGGGGTTCGTGCCCGATGCACATTCCCAGCATGCTTTCAGGAGTCTTGTCCTTCTGAGAAGTACGAGTTCTCAGCATGCTCTTACTTTCCAGGCATTCGAGCTCCGCTTTTCGCTTTACCATCAATCAAGGAAGGGCATTGGATAATGTTGCCTCCCATGAGGTTTGTCCACTTCTCTTAGAGTGTCGGAGGCTTCCTCGCAGTACGCGCATGCTGAATTCTGAGTGGATATGTGTAAGCGTTCTTAGATGTTCGTGGAGTTATGCCAAGGTGTGCGTCGACGTGCTCGTTTGAGGTACATGTGCCCACTCCCATGTTCTCTCATGTGTTTAGCTTCGCCATAACGGTCATTGGTGATTGCTTCCGGATTCAGCCATGGGTTTTATTGTCGCCCTCGTGTCGTCCTGCTAGGTTTCTCCTTGCATCCAGGCGCGCCGGCATCGGCATCAGACTATGAGACGCTGTCGGGACAACGTCAGGGCACCGTCGCAGAGCCCACTGTCGATCCCATCGATCCGAACCGACATGGGCGTCGGCCGTCCCCATTGCGATTGGGCACCTCCCACCCTGACCCGTGCTTTTTTGCCGGTGGCAAGTCATGGGAGCTGCCCTTCGCCAGAGTTCGGGGGCGGAAAAGAGGGGGGTGATGACTAGGGGGGGGGTGGATATCATGGCGTGGGCCATGATATTTACGCAGATTTCATGGCGCCTCTTCTTTTTTCATTACGTCCCTGGCCCCCCCGCTGGGCCGCGCACATGCCGCCGGTCATGATTTGCACCCCCCCCTCTTGGGCATCCCCCTCTTGGCCGCTCCCGAAGAGTGACCTTGCGCCAGAGTGCCCTTGGATGCGAGCCCAATGAGATCCCACGATCGCCGATCGCGAAGCGGTGCCAGCGGCCTGCGCGCCCAGGCCCGGACACCCGCGCCCCCCGTTCGGTGGCAAGTCATGGGAGCCTGGTGTGCCCTCTGAATTCCGTCTTCAGCGTCGATTAGCGTCTGGGGGCCGATGAGACGGTGCCGATTTTGCGTCGATCAGCGTCGATTTAGCTTCGATTAGCGTCGGTTTAGCGTCGATTAGCGTCGACTCGCAAGAGCCTGCAAGACGGTACGGGAGGCGCCCATGAGTTGCCGCCGAACGTTTTTCAAGGCGGACCTAGCCGTGGCGACGATTCACTTCAGGTGAGAAAAAACAAACACAGACACAAAGAATCGTTGATCCACAAGAGACATGCAGGAAGCATTGGAAGTTAAGGGTGAGACGAAAACCCCGAAAATATGCAGAAGTATGGGGAATCCTGGGATGTGTGTCTATTTGTTTGTGTGTCCCTGGGCCAAAGCTTCAGGGGGTCCCCTAGGGAGGGATGGCCGCCGTTGTCTCGACTGTCCATCGTCCGGTTCGATCTGATTGCTGAGGCCTTGCGGCCGGTGCCGCCGACCGACACTGGACGACGACCCCCACGATGGAAGAGGCATTCGGGAAGGAGGGGATCAGACGCTCCCAAGAGTGCGCAAGAGGCTACACGAGGCCCCCAAGAGGTGCCCAGGAACCCCCGCGAAGTTCTGGGACGTCGTCTCGACTGGCCCTCGTCCGATCCGATTCGATGTCCCGATCCGGTGCGGACTGGTCCTGCCGCCGCATGGCACTTTGCGGCAACGCCGGGGGCACCCGCCGGGGCTTCGGTCGGCGGCGGTGGCGGCGACGACGACGGAGGCGCTGGCTATGCGTGCCTCCCTCGTTGAAGCGCGCTCGCGCGCTCGCTCGCTCGCTCGCGCGCGCCTCCTGGAAGAGGCAGGTCGGGATGATGAGATGGTTGGAGGGAGGGCGAGAGGGTGAATGAAGAGGAGGGGGAGGATGAGGAGGAGATCGAGGGAGGGAGGGAGGGATGATGCTGCTACTGATGATGATGATGATGATGATGATGATGATGATGATGATGATGATGAGGATGAGGATGAGGATGAGGATGAGGATGATGATGATGATGATGATGATGATGATGATGATGATGATGATGATGATGATGATTTTCTGATGCTGATGCTGATGCTGGTGCTGGTGCTGGTGATGCTGATGCTGATGCTGACGCTGATGCTGATGCTGATGATGATGATGTTCATATCGAGACTGGTGCTGATGCTGTTACTGGCACTGGTGCTGATACTGATGATGCTGATGCCGATGGCGATGCCGATGTCGATGATGTTGATGATGATGCTGGTGATGCTGATGCTAGTGCTGACGCTGATGCTAATGATGATGCTGATGCTTATGCTGATGATGCTGTTGCTGATGCCGGTGATGTGGAGAGGGAGGGGCGCGTGATTATCCATTGTTCCACTTGTATCTGCCCTTCTGTAGTTCCTGTTTTGCGCGCACTGCTCGTGTAATATGCTTGTGTTCACGCGTCTGCCTTTCGTTTGTTTCAGCACGAGTGCTCAGACGTGGCGAGCGTTCCGATCAACGTTGGCGCAACGCAGAAGGATCAAGAGGAGGAGGTGGAGGAGGAGGAGGAGGTTCCTGAACAGGGTTCGCTGTCTCTGTTGCCGGGGTTCTGTCCATTTGAGACACAGGCTCGCCTGCCCGCTGCCCAACAGCGGCCGCTGCCTCGGTGTTGGACGAAACTTGCTGTTTTGGCATCGTGTATCCTGTTTCCCGTCCGTCTCGCTCACTCCCACCCGCCCTCCCAACACATACGTAGCACCCGAGTTTGGCCCGAGCCTCAGCATATTCAGCAGTCGTCTTTGGATGGGCAGCTACTGGGGGCCAATCCGCTGCCGCCGCCGCCGCCGCCTCCGCCGCCGCCCCGCCGCCGCCGCCGCGCCCGCCGCCGCGGCCGCCGCGCCGCCGCCGCCCCGCCGCCGCCGCCGCCGCCCCCCGCCTTAACCGCCGCCGCAGCCGCAGCCGCTGCCGCCACCGCCGCCGCCGACGCCGCCGCCGCCGCCGCAGCCGCAGCCGCCGCCGCCGCCGCCCCCGCCCCCGCCCCGCCGCCGCCGCCGCCGCAGCCGCCGCAGCCGCCGCCGCCGCAGCCGCAGCCGCCGCAGCCGCCGCCGCCGCCAAGTGTATTCTGTATTGTTTTTTGACAGGGATGGTGGGGGGGGCCGCATCGGGTTGGCTGCGCATGTTCCGAATTTGGAGGCAGAGTGTGCTTTGTATCGTTTTTTACCAGGGATGGTGGGGGGGGGGTGTCGGCATGGACTCGGGTTGGCCCCCAGTCGCCTGGGGGAGGGGGTGTTTATTGATAGGGAACAGTGATAGAGGTATGGGCAGGGGTAGGGGGAGAGCGGGGGAGGAGGGACATCGTCGTCGTAGGGGTAGGGGTAAGGGTAGTCCAAGGCTGCAGCTTCATCAGGCGTGCCATCGCCCTGGCTCCTCTAAGCCCCTGGGCTTTCACGGGGTGAGGAAGGCCCGAGTCCTCGAGGCTCAAGGCTCGAGGAGGAGCGCGCTCGCGCGGAGCGCGCGCGTGCAAGCCGCGTCGGCGTCACCGTCATCGTCGTCGTCGTCGGCGGCCCGTCGTCGTCCCTGCCGGCGCCGGCGCCGGCGCCGTCCTCGTCGGCAATGGCGTCGTCGCCGCCGCCGCCGCCGTTCGCCGCGGCCGCGCGGCGCGCGCCCCGTGCGCGCGGCGCAGGCCCGGGCTCCGCCGGCTGCTGGTCTGCGGCTGCTCCGAGTCGCAGCGGCGGCGCGCCGCGGCGGCTGCCGCGTCGGTGGGCGCGCCCAATAGCGGAGGCCGCCGGCGGGTGCGGGGCCGCCGCGTCCGCCGCGCCCGCTTGCGGCAGCCGCCGTCAGCGTCGCCGCCGCCGCTGAGGCTGTCGTCGTCGCCGCCGCCGCCGCCGTCGCCGTCGCCGTCGTCGGCGTCGTCGTCGTCGTCGTCGTCGTCGTCGCCGCCGTTGGCGTCAACGGGGTCGCTGCAGGCGTCGGCGTCGTCGTCGTCGCTGATGTCGTCGGCGTTGCCGTCGGGTGTGTTCTCGGGCGAGGGGAGAGGCCGAGGCGCGGCGGGGCAGGGATGAATGAGGACATCCGCGCAAGGGAGTCGCGCGGATCGCTAGATTTGGTGGCCAGCCTCGATAACCTTGTGAGCATCCGAATAAGAAAAATGGCATAAACATAAACTGTTGGCGCTCCGCGCGGATTTCTTGGATCCGCGCTGGGCCCCCCGGCGGCGCCTCCGGCGCCGCCCCTGGCAAACTCCGCGCGCCAGGGAGGGGGGTCCAGCGCAGATCCAAGAAATCCGCGCGGAGCGCCAAAAGTTTATGTCTCTGCATTCTTTTCTTCTTGTATCACGCTTGCAACCAAAGCCCGCGGCAACGACGCAGTATGCTTCACCGAGACTGGCCTTGGATCCCTTTCCTCTCTTCTGCCCATTCTTGGCCATGGATCCTGGGACTCCCGGGTCTCGGGCTCACTCTGCTGCGATCGTTCCCGCGAAGGCGCCAGAGGGTCTTGCAGCATCCTCACAGTCAAGACGCTGAAGTAAGGGGCGCTTCGGGTTTGGAAGGGGCGTGCCGCTCCTTATCCTTCCATGCATGTTCCCACGGCGCCCCTTGTTAACCCTAGCCCAACCTCCTGTGTTGGGCTCTCGTTTTGATTACAGCACTGCTCGTGCGTCTCCTCCCCACGCCTTCCTCCGCCGACCCTCTACTGCATCCTGTGCGTGCTTTTGGGGGATGCGAATTGCGCAACTGTGGCCACTTTCGTGGGCTCCTGGGAGGCACGGCGGAGGCGGATGATTTTGACTTCGCGGCTCCCTCGGGGTCTGCGACTGCATAACCGTCGCCACTTTTGTGGGCTCCTGCGAGGTTCGGTGGAGGTGAGAGCGGCGCGAATGATATTGAGACCTCGCGGCTCCCTCGGGGGCTGCGAAATGCGCAACCGGCGCCACGTTGGTGTGCTCCTGGGAGGCATGGCAGAGGCGAGGGCAGTGCAGATCACTTCGAGACATCGCGGCTCCCTCGGGGGGCTGCGAATTGCGCAGTTGTCGCCACCTCTGTGGCCACGGCGGAGGTGAGTAGGCTCTTTTCAGGCACGGCGGAGGTGAGGGGAGCGCAGATAATTTCGGGACCTCGCGACTCTCGTCAGGGCTGCGATCTGCGCACCTGTCGCCACTGTTGTTGGCTCCTGGGAGGCACGGCAGAAGCGAGGGCAGCGCGGATCCAGGCGAGACCTCGCGGCGCTGCTGGGGACCTGCGAACTGCACACCCGCCATCCCTTTCGTGGGCTCCTGGGAGGCACGGCGGAGTGCAGCGCCACGCAGATCGAGGCGAGACCCCGCGGCTCCCCCAGAGGCTGCGAGGTGGCGCAAATGTCGCCACTTCCGTGAGCTCCTGGGAGACGGTTCCTTGTGAGACCTCGCGGCTCCGTCAGGCGTTCCGAATGACGCAACTCATGATTGTCGTTGGCTTCTGGGAGGCACGGCGGAGGTGAGGGCAGCGCAGATCACTTCGAGACCTTGCGGCTCCCTTGGGGGCTGCGAACTACGCAACCCTTTCGTGGGCTCCTGGGAGGCACGGCGGAGGTGAGGGCAGCGCAGATCACTTCGAGACCTCTCGGCTCCGCTGGGGGCTGCGAATTGCGCAAATGTCGCCATTGTGGGCTCCTGGGAGGCACCGCGCATGTGAGGGCAGCGCCGATCATTTCGAGACATCGCGGCCCCCACGTGGGCTGCGAACTGCGCAACCATCTCACTTTTGTAGCTCCTGGGCGGCACGGCGGAGGCGAGGGGAGCGCAGATCATTTCGGGACCTGAGGAGGAGGAGGAGGAGGAGGAGGAGGAGGAGGAGGAGGAGGGGGAGGAGGAGGAGGAGGAGGAGGAGGAGGAGGAGGAGGAGAGGGAGGAGGAGGAGGAGGAGGAGGAGGGGGGGAGGAGGCGGAGAAGGAGGAGGAGGAGGGGGAGGAGGAGGAGGGCTGCGAACTGCGCAACCGGCGCCACTTTGGTTGGCTCCTGGGAGGCACGGCGGAGGCGAGGGCAGCGGAGAGATCAGTTCGAGACCTCGCGGCTCCCTCGGGGTCCGCGACTGCACAACTGTCGCCATTGTCGTGAGGCACGGCGGAGGTGAGTAGGCTCCTTTCAGGCACGGCGGAGGTGAAGGCAGCGCGACTCATAACTATTGAGACCCCGCGACTCCCTTGAGGGCTGCAAGCTGCGCAGCCGTCGCCACTTTCGTGGGCCCCTGGGAGGCACGGCGGAGGTCAGTGCAGCGTGGATCGTGCATATCTCGCGACGTGTTCCTATGTATGGAGTGTTCATAGAGACGGTCGCCCCCGCGTAGAGAAGGGCATTGGCACCGCTCGGTTGGGTCGTTCTAGCTTTCCCTCAAGTACTTGCCAGTCGTTGAACGTAACTTTCTGGATTTCCAGATCCCGACCTGCCTTGGGCGCCTTCCTACTTCAAGAGCCGAGTGGTGTTCCCTTGTCCCTCCTCTTCATGTGGCGGGAGGGAGCTCAATCTACTTTCAAAGCCTTCCTACTTCATGTTTCTACCCACTTCTTCCGACCGACGTGTATGTCTCCCCGAAGGTTGCCCGGAAGGCAGTTTCAAGCGTTCCCAGTCTGTGAAGACGGTCCTCCCGACGGCCACCTCGCGTAGAGATGGTCGCCTCGCGTAGAGATAGTCGCCTCGCGCAGAGGAGGGCGTGAGTCACTTGAGCTGTTCCTCGAGTGAACTTGCCTACAGGGTTCTCGCGGTCTTCTTCCGCGGTGCCCCTTTGGGGCTTGACCGCCCCGACCTCCCCTGGCTGGGGAGGGGGCTGCTTCGCGCGACGGCCCGCGCCGAGCCTGCAATCGTTTACGGCAGGGCCGCATTGGCATCGCTCGGACGTGTGCCTTTTTTCTCGGTGAGGACCATCGAGGAGCATCTTTGATCATTTAGCGAAAAATGCACGCACGAACTCGAAAAATACACGGGGAATGGACGTCCGAGCGATGGCGAGATCAGAAGGGCAGGTCGCTGCTCCAGGGGTGCCCTGCCTCCGAGGCGGGGACTTATCCATACCCACCACCTGGGGGGATCGATCCTCGCGGACCTCCACGGGCGGTGGAGAGTATTTATTTCCCAAGGTTCTCCGAGAGGTCACAAGTCCATCAGTGCAGTGCCCGGTGATGAATCACCGTCTTAATCGGCCAACTGTTTGCCAGAAGCTGTAATGGCAAGAGCGGCGGAGAGGGGGCGAGATCGGCCTGCTCGCTGGGCCTCCCGCTGGGGCACCAGGGCGTCGGTTCCCAGGCGGTGGATACGGACAAATTCCTGCCTCGCCCTGGCGTCCTTGCCTCTCCCGTGCGCCCCCCTGTGCAGACTCTTCCGTGCGCCTCCCTGTGGGCTTCCCGAGCGCGCCCGCGCGCCTGCGGCGCACGCCGCGCCGCATCTGCGCAGCCGGCCGGCAGCCGACTCTCCACGCGTGCCCGCTCGCGGCCGCTCGCACGCCCCGCTGCCCCAGCGCTGTCGCAGTGGAGCTTCCTCCGGGCGCGCCCGCTCTCGCCCAGCGCACGTTCCTCCGCCTCCTCCCCCTCCTCCTTCTCCTCCCCCTTCCTCCTCCTCCTCCTCCTCCTCCTCCTCCTCTCCTCCTCCTCCCCTCCTCCTCCTCCTCCTCTCTCATCATCATCATCATCATCATCATCATTCATCATCATCATCATCATCATCCTCATCCTCATCCTCCTCATCCTCATCCTCATCCCCCCTCCTCCTCCTCCTCCTCCTCCTCCTCCTCCTCCTCCTCCTCCTCCTCCTCCTCCTCCTCCTCCTCCTCCTCCTCCTCTCCTCCTCCTCCTCCCCCTCCTCCTCCTCCTCTCCTCCTCCTCCTCTCCTCCCTCCTCCTACTCCTCCTCCTCCTCCTCCTCCTCCTCCTCCTCCTCCTCCTCCTCCTCCTCCTCCTCCCTCCTCCTTCACAATTACTCAATATGAATACTACTCTTCCTCTTCCCCTGATGACGGTTTGAAAGTGCTCGACCCCCCCCCCCCCGCGTATTGTTTTTTTACACACAGGTGTCCCCGGAGTTGGGTTTTCGCTTGCATTTGTTGTCAAAATGCTGCTCTCGCTGAGGCGCCGGCCTCATTTTCGGGCCTCGCTCGTTCCGAATCGTGCTCCCGCTGCAGCGCTGGCCTCATTTCCGCGCTTCCGCTCGTTTCGACTCGTGCTCCCGCTGCAGCGCTGGCGTCATTTCCCGTGCCATGCCATGGCATGCAATGCAATGCTAGGTTGGTACTACGCTTTGCGGCGCTCTTCTACGCCATGCCATGCCGTGCTCTACAATGCATCGCGTACCCTTTCGGGATCATTGCCCTGCTCGACATCCGACTGCGCGAGTAGAGAGAAGATCCACGCCATGGTAAAGAATGGGAGGGAGGGTCGGATGTCAGATATGACGCGAGCGCACCTAGTTTGTCCCCCTTTCCCTCCTCCTCCTCCTCCTCCTCATCATCATCATCATCATCATCATCATCCTCGTCCTCATCATCATCCTCCTCCGTAGCCATTTTGGTTCAAGATTCCAACGTTGGCTGGCACATCGCCAGCAGGCCTTCCATGGATACCGCTAGTCCGCGGCCAGCTCAGGAGCTTCCTTTGGACCCTCCTCATACATATCCACGCGGAATACACACGAGGTGCCGCGGCCTCATTGCGTGCTCGCCCATGGGCTGAAGTGCAGGCTGAAGTGCAGACACCATGCCCGACCACAACAGAGATCATTCTCCTCGCGGAGGTAGAGGCCCTTGGCAAGAAGCGGCTACT